GTCAGAACTACCACTTGGGCTCACATAAATGGGCTGCTCAAATAGTTACCTACTGGCATTTTCTTTCTGCTCAGATATGTGCTGGCTTATTGGCCCGGAACTCTAATGTGTCCTCATGATATTGGGGTATTCCATGTAGTCCAGTAGAAGAGCTCCATTCCATGGATTTACTTTGTTGTGGTTGAATTGCTTTTTAATTTGGAAGTTACAAATTAATTTTAGTAACTGGGCAAATTCACTTTTATGAAATCTATGAATAATGAAGATTGACTATATAAAACAGTGAAAAATTTCTATTCTACTCCTTTCCCCTAAAGGCTTAGATCCCTCCTCCTCAGAAGTAACCACAATTATGAGTTTCTTGTATATCTTTCTAGAATTTATTATGCATATAATGGCAACTTAAACATGCATGTATGTTACTTTTTTATCATTATCATTTTATCATTAATAATTTTTTAAAAAGATTTTTTATTTATTTGACAGAGAGAAACACAGAGAGAGAGGGAACACAAGCAGCAGGGGGAGTGGGAGAGGGAGAAGCAGGCTTCCCGCGTAGCAGGGAGCCCAATGAGAGGCTCGATGCGGGGCTCAATGCGGGGCTCGACGCGGGGCTCAATGCGGGGCTCGACGCGGGGCTCGATCCCAGGACCCCGGGATCATGACTTGAGCCAAAGGCAGACAGTAAACGAATGAGCCACCCAGGCGCCCCTTTTTTATCATTAATTTTGAAGGGGTCCGGACTATGCTCCAGTGGCATAAGGATTATTTTGAACTGAAGAAATTTGAAAATCAATGACTGTAGGAAGAGGCTTTTCCTCCATTCCTTTTATTTTCTTAAAAGCAAAGCTTCTCGAAAGAATTCAATTGGAGGCACCTGGGTGGCTCAGTCATTAAGCGTCTGCCTTCAGCTCAGGTCATGATCACAGGGTCCTGGGATCGAGCCCCGCGTCAGGCTCCCTGCTCCACGGGAAGCCTGCTTCTCCCTCTCCCACTCCCCCTGCTTGTGTTCCCTATCTCACTGTGTCTCTCTGTCAAATAAATAGAAGAAAAAATCTTAAAAAAAAAAAAAAAGAATTCAATTGTCCTGAATCCCCTCCCAAGGAGTTTCACAACAGGGGATGATTAACTCCTGTTACCAAAGACAAGAAGTCAGCACAAGTCAGCCCCTGGATAAGAAATCACCTAAAGAGACATTGTCATAAAACTCATATATTCCACCTATTCTCCTAAGGGCCCATTCATTTTTCCTACAAGTCATATGTTCCCCTCTGCTCCTCCCCTTCCCCTATTAAGATGGCTTATAAACTCCAAAATCTAACCACATCCTTGAGTCACGTTTCTTTGTGAATGCCTGTGCATATATACATACTTAAATTTGTTTTTCCCTCTTGCTAATCTGTCTGTTGTGCATTTAAAATGCAGGCCCCCAAGTACAAAATTGAAAAGGATACAGGAAAAGATGTTCCTCCCCAACAATTTCAAAGAGCAAATGATAAATTGTACAAAAATCAATCCATAGTACATAGATACGTGTATTTGGGCAGCACTTGTGTAATATAACCAAGAATTTATCAATTTCTAGATAGCAAAAATGTTATATTCTCTCAGTAAGTACCTAGTAGCTGTTATCAAACAATTCAGAGACACAATCAAAATGGTACTGTGATTAACACTATGCATAACTGAAGGCTGTTTGTTTTACAGTGAGTATCTGTAAAAGCCTAACATCCCATTCTCTTAACCAATTTTTTTTTTTTAAGACTTTATTTGTCAGAGAGAGCGCGAGCACAAGCAGGAGGAGGGGCAGGCAGAAGGAAAAGCTGAGCAAGGCAGGCAGGGGGAGAAGCTGAGCAGGGAGCCTGATACGGGACTCAGTCCCAGGACCCTGAGATCATGACCTGAGCTGAAGGCAGTTGCTTAACTGACTAAGCCACCCAGGCGTCCCTTAACCAATTATTTTTAAAATCAGTAATACTTTTAAATCAATGATAATTCTTTTAGCTGTTTCTTTTAGTATTTACCTTCAGGTTTCTAATATATTTGTATTGCTCTTTTTAATGGTATCTACTTACTATTATGGTAATCGATGTTTTAGATGTCTTGCATCAACACCACCCTTTTCTCCACTCTCATTCTCAAAATATAGTCAGTGATATAGTTAGTTAAATCAGTAGTTACTGATTGTATTGAAGGAGTTCAGAACACAGCACCCAAAAACATGATGCTCCGGCATACTATTTTGAGTTAAAAGCACTTGAAAAACAGCAGCTGCAAGAAGGACATTCTGATTCTCCTTCCTTTTCTTAAAAGCAGGAGATAAAATTCCCATGTGAAAGATATCCTCCCTATTTCAGAAGGAAAGAGAAATTCATGTCACCAAGGGCATGAGGTCGAGGCCACGATAAATCTATACAAACAAACTTTGTTAACCTAACCCCTATCTTTCTAGTCACTCACTCATATAACTGCTCCAGCCCGAGCCCCTTTGCCTAGTCACATTTTCACAATTTACTATTCTTTGTCCAACTCAGTATATAAAGCATTCAACTCAATCGGGTCTTAACTTTTCTTGTGAAGACTCCCAAGTCCATGTAAAGAAGATATAGTTAAAATTTGTATGTTTTTTCCTGTTAATCTGTTTTCTGTTAGTTAAATTCTTAGGTCCAACCAGAGACCCTAAGAAACTAGAGGAGAAATTATTCATCCCCTACAGCATTATTCTGATTCTGTGATTCAAAATGAGCTATTTACTTTTTCATTAATTTTTTTGTTTTTTGATTGTTGTTAATAACTCAAAAGTAAATGTAATAAGAAGCACTGAATCATAAACCTAACGTGTCATTATTATGGTGTCCTGGCTCCCCCTCTGGCAAGGCTGAAATTGGTTGTGGTCTCAGGAAACCAAGTTTACCTGAATCCGTTTTCTCACCTCTAAAATAGGAGAAGTACTTGTGTTTTCCTCCTAAGACAAAGGTCTTAGAAGAAGCAAAGTAGGAGTAAGATAGAAGAATAAGATAGTGAATTTTGAAAGCCCCTTGTAAACTTCAAATGTGAGAGAACTATAAAGCAAAATAATCACTAGACCAGGGGATTTCACAATTTTTGACTGAAAACAAGGTTCTAGACTTCATTCCTCTCCTGATTGACTCTGGGCAAATCTTTTCATACTGGGGTGGCTGTTTTCTAACTGGTAATGCAGACATATCAAAGTTAATGAATAATTATGATATGTTTACACTGCTAACACAATTTATTCAGATGTATAACAATTTGTAAACAGCTTGTACTCTTCAGCAATCTCCAACTACCGACCAGCTCTGATTTTATTATTGCTTCTAAATGAGACATTAACTACCCTTGAAGCTATCCACTGTCCCCACAGACAGCTCAGTAGAAATACCTAAGTAGGAGACTGCCGGATCACCTGGTTTCCTGAAGACACGGGAGACTAAGGCGGGAATGCAATGCATTTGTGGCAGATCCAACAACAAAATCGAAAGTTAGAAAACAATCAGAAATTAACAGGATTAATTAAACGGCGGTTGAGAACACTTTAGTCACTGTAGGAAAGCTGAGTATTTCGGGAAGGCTTGGTACATCCAATTACCTAACCTTAGCCTGCTAGCAGTCTGGCATTTCTCTGGCTGAGACTGGCTCTTCAGCTTCTCGGGATTCCCAGAGCTCCTTGCGCGGCTCTTGGCGGGAAAGCAACTGGAAGTCACAAGGCTGCTGCCGCGCCTTCAACGGCGACGGTTGGAGGAAAACGCCTGCGCATCAGGCACAGCGCGTGCCGCGTGGTGCAGGTTTGGTGGTCGCTGGCGCCCGGCCCTCAGACGTTCCGTAATGTATATGTGTTTGTTTGTTTGTTTTTTGTTTGTTTTCTTTCGTGTTTTTGTTTTTTGCTTTTTAATCTCATTTTCTAACACCTCCCAACTCCTTTTAAGTTTCTTAAAGTCTTAATGGTGAAACACACGGGGGGAAAACGTAGACCTACTTATTTTTCACAGGAGTTTCTTGAGGCGAGGTTAACTCTGGCGTCTGGTCCAGGCTTTGTCAAGATCAGTTAAAACACGTACAGTAAATCGTCTCTTCTGGGACTTCTTCCAGTTGAATTGTCTGATTAAGAAAAGTGAAACTGGGGACCAAAAAAATTGAAACTTACATGAAAATAACAGTTATAATCGAGAAATCGGAATCAGCCAAAATCTGGAATATTTTCTGTTCCTCTTTTGTGGTTGTTCCACAGAGTAGGACAATATGTCATTATATCGAGAGCCATGCTGAAGTTCAGTGAAGGACCGTTACCTGATTCGGTCATTTTGAAACTACAAATTTAAAACAAAAATTTTAAGATTATTTATTTTGTTTTTTTTTAAGTTTTTTTTTGTTTTTAATTCATTTGAGAGAGAGAGCGAGCGAGAGAGCTCGCACATGAGAGCAGGAGCAGGGGGAGGGGCAGAGGGGGAAGGAGAAGCAGATTCCGCGCTGAGCAGGGAGCCAGAGGAGGGAGGGGCTTCCCAGGATCATGACCTGAGCCTGAGTTGAAGGCAGACGCTTAACGGAGTGAGCCACCCAGGCACCCCCACAGTTGTTGGGGTTTTTTTTTAGGTATACATACATAAAAGATCTTTATTATAAGGAATTAGTCACACAATTAGAAGTCCCAAATCTGCAGTCAGCAAGCTGGAGACTCAAGAAGGAGCTGAAGTTTCAGATTTAGGGAGGGTGATCTGCTTTGCTCAGTCCAGCAACTCAAATGTTCATCTCATCCACAGCACCCTCACAGACACATCCAGAACAAAAATTTTAGATTATTTTAAAGAGTTTGGCAGGGGCAGTTTTCATTACCTGATACCTACCTAACTGTAGCAGTGTACTCAATGCTTGAATACTGTGATTTACTTATTTGTGTAAAATTTATTTACATGAAATTCACGTAGAATTTATTTTCATTTATTTACATAAAGTTCTTTCTGACTTTACATGTAATAAACTAGAATATTAGGAATAAAGAAGATCTGAAGTTAAAGCTTGTATTTGTGTCACAAGGTTGAATTAAAGAAAAGACTTTATCGGAAGATGGCCACTGCACAATTGCAAAGAACTTCCATGGTATGAGTTCGTGTATTTTACTGTATTTTAATTTAGCTAATTTTATTGTTTCTTGAAGTCTCAACTCTTTTTATATTCTAAAGTTAGAGTCAACTGTTTGAGGGTTTAATGAGATCAGGAAATTCCATATTTTAAGAACTGAAGATATTTACTAAACTCTTTATAGAGTCAGTGGAGAATTGTATTAGATATTTGATGCACTGCATTAAATAACGGGTTCATATTCAATTTACATTAGGTGTTAATAAATGCCATTCTGTTGCTTTGATGGAATTATCATTCTTAGCAGTCCATTCCTAGGAAATGAAGGTCCATGCCTCACAAAGATAAAATTCTCATCTTTGCACAGTTCTTGTGTTATAGTTACCTGTGTCAAACCTAGTCAGAAACTAAAGAGAAAAGAAGTGTTATCTATCATGTATTATGCCCTTACAGACAGTCAACCTGCAGGAGGATTTTTAACATGATTCTTAACCACTTTTTGCATTTTACCTTTAGGCTACAACCCTGGAATTACCCTCACATCTTAGAAGCCACCCTGACTTTCTGGGGATTACTAACCACTGTGGTTAGGAATTTTTATTTTATTTTATTTTATTTTATTTTATGGTTAGGCTTCTTTGGGAAAGTATCATGCTTATGCAAAATTAGATCTACTCAAAGTTCAGGAAGATGTTACTTTTAATAAATCTAAATTTATTATTAAATAAATTTAATTTTCCTTGAATTTAGAGTGCATTGGTGTTTCCCAATAAGATATCAACAGAGCAACAGTCTCTAGTGTTAGTGAAGAGGCTCCTAGCAGTTTCAGTATCCTGCATCACATATTTGAGAGGAATATTTCCGGAATGTGCTTATGGAACAAGATATCTAGATGGTAATGTCATGTTTATATTTTGTTTGTTTCAATTTTTTTTAATGTAATGTTTATTTTAGAACTTTCATTAGAGGTGCCTGGGTGGCTCAGTGTGTTGTGTCTGACTTTTGATTTCAGCTCAGGTCTCAATCTCAGGGTCATGAGTTCAAGCCCATGTTGGGTTCCATGCTAGGCGTGGAGCCTATTTAAAAAACACACACAAAACTCTTTCTTTAGGGCGCCTGGGTGGCTCAGTTGGTTAAGCGACTGCCTTCGGCTCAGGTCATGATCCTGGAGTCCCGGGATCGAGTCCCGCATCGGGCTCCCTGCTCAGCGGGGGGTCTGCTTCCCCCTCTGCCCTCTTCCCTCTCATGCTCTCTGTCTCTCATTCTCTCTCTCTCTCAAATAAATAAATAAAATCTTCAAAAAAAAAAAAACTCTTTCTTTAAACATGTTTTTATTTTGGCTTGCTTTAAAACTGTAATTTTTTGACCCAGCAATTGCACTACTAGGTATCTACCCCAAAGATACAAATGTAGTGATCCAAAGGGGCACCTGAACCCCAGTGTTTTTAGCAGCAATGTCCACAATAGCCAAACTATGGAAAGAGCCCAGATATCCATTGACAGATGAATGGATAAAGAAGATGAATGGGTAAAGATGGACTACTACTCAGCCATCAAAAAATGAAATCTTGCCATTTGCAATGACATGGATGGAACTAGAGGGTATTATACTAAGTGAAATAATCAGAGGACAATTATCATATGAACTTACTCATGTGTGGAATTTAAGAAACAAAACAGAAGATCATAGGGGAAGAGAGGGAAAAATAAGACAAAATCAGAGAGTGAGACAAACCACAAGAAACTTAAATAGGAAACAAACTGAGGGTTGCTGGAAGGGAAGGGGTGAAGGACATTGAGGAGAGCACGTTGTGATGTAATGAGCCCTGGATATTATATAGGACTGATGAATCACACTGAACTCTACCTCTGAAACTAATAATACACTATATATTAATTAATTAAATTTAAATTAAAAAATAAATAAAATGGGAAAAAATAATAAAACTAATTTTTGCTTAGAGATTTAAATAATAGCTTTATTAAGATATAATTCACATACCTGACAATTCATGCATTTAAAGTGCACAGTTGAAAGATTTTTAGTATATTCAAATCAGTGTGCAACCATTACCACAGTCAATTTTAGTACATTTCGTCAACCCGTAAGAGAACTCCATACCCACTAAGTGATTCTCTACTTCTTCCACCTCCGCAGTCCTAGGCATCCACCAATCTGCACTCTGTCTCTATGGATTTGCCTATTCTGGACATTTCATATAAATGGAATCATATGATATGTGGTCTTTGTGACCAGCTTCTCTCATTTAATGTTTTTAAGGTTCATCCATATGGTAACATGAATTAGTACTTCATTCTCTTTTATTGCTGAATAATATTCCATTATATGGATATACCACATTTTATTTATTCCCTTCATCAGTTGATGAACATTTGTTTCAGTTGTTTACACTTTTTGGCTATTACGTATTTTTTCTTTCTTTTTTTTTAATTTGAGAGAGAGGACCGATGAGCAGGAGCGGGGAGGGGCAGAGGGAGAGAATCTCAAGCAGACTCTGTGCTGAGCGTGGAGCCTGATGTGGAGCTCTATCTCACGACCCAGAGACCATGACCTGAGCCAAAATCAAGAGTCAGACACTGAACCAACTGAGCCACCCAGGTGCCCCATTTTTTGGGCTATTATAAATAATGCCACTTTCGTGTACAAGTTTTTGTGTGGACTAAGTGGTTTTTTAAAAGTATATTTAAGGGATGCCTGGGTGGTGCGGTCGGTTCAGCATCCGAATCTTAGTTTCAGTTCAGGCCTGATTTCAGGGTCTTCAGATCGAGCCCTACATGGGGCTCAGCCATCAGCACAGAGTCTGCTTGAGTTTCTCTTTCCCTCCCCTCTGCCCCGCCTCCCTGCGCATGCGCTCTGTCTCTCACTGAAATAAATCTTTTTTTAAAGTATATTTAATACCTTTGGAAGCACTTAATCATAAAATTTTTCCTCAGTTTCTCAAGTTTAATTTTACCTGAGATTACTCTTATAGTGATGAACAAAGTAGATAAAAGCATTCGATTATTAATAGCTTTGTACAGTGGTAGTATATGTTCTTGTGTTATTTTAAGGAAGTAAAATAATAAAGCCTATTTATACTACAGTAATAATTCATTACCCAGCCCATAGTATGTACCTAACTTTGTGCGCTAACTATATGCTGAGACAATACGTTACGCTATGTTATGTATTATATCTTGTTAATTCATATTATAGGCCTGTGGGTTAGATATTATACCTATTTTTCAGATAAGGAACCTGAGACAGAGATCTCAGTCCTTTCCATTGTATTACCTGTTGCTTTCTTGCAGTTCTCTATCTCTGATAGCCAGTTAACTACTTGGTCTTTTACAAGTATTTAATTGGGATAAGGGCCCATGCAAATACTCTAAGACTCTTGGATTATGATGGTGTGAAAACATTATATCTAACTTTAAATATTTTATAACTTTTTAAAAAGATTTTATTTATTTATTTGACAGAGAGAGAGAGAGACAGCGAGAGCAGGAACACAAGCAGGGGGAGTGGGAGAGGGAGAAGCAGGCTTCCTGCTAAGCAGGAAGCCTGATGTGGGGCTCGATTCCAGGACCCTGGGATCATGACCTGAGCCAAAGGCAGACGCTTAACGACTGAGCCACCCGGGCGCGCCAAATATTTTATAACTTTTAAAAAATAATTTTTTTCTACCCATCAACATGTATCTTAATCATTATGATGCCATTTTATAATGAGGATAAAAAGATTCTTTGTTTCCATAAAACTTTTCTTCTTTTAAATTATATTACTACCAATCATCTGGAAGTTCATTGCCATTTAAAAATATATCTCTAATACACAGCTGAAGAAAATAATCTTCAGTTAAATTTCTAGTTGTTTACTAAACTTAAGCAACCCTATATTTATATCATTTTGGTGTTTAGATCTTTGTGTCAAAATTCTGAGAGAAGATAAAAACTGTCCAGGATCTACACAGTTAGTGAAGTGGTAAGTAAAAGAATACCTAATGATATTAAATTATTTTTTTTTAAATAACATTTTTTTAATGTTATTCAGATATTTTACCTCCTATCCCGAACCATCCTCTATCAACATTTTATATTTCTGCCACTATTTGTTTTGTTTTATTATTTTAAGCTGGTTAATAAGAAGGGAGCTTTGGGGAGCCCAGCTGGCTCAGTCAGTAGAGCATGTGACTCTTGATCTTGATCTCAGGGTTGTAAGTTTGAGCCCCACATTGGGTGTAGAGATTACTTAAAAAAGATAAAAATCTTAAAAAAAAAAAAAAGAAGGGAGCTTTAATAAGAAAATTTTGTATTCTTTAGTAATGAGATAACATGGAGACTTATTAAAAGAATTCTTTTCTGGAAATGCATTCAATCTAAAAATGAATCCTTTGTTATTTTTTAGGATGCTAGGATGCTATGATGCTTTACAAAAAAAATACGTAAGTCAGTATCTCCTTATCTTTTTTCCTACTGTTTATACTCTAACAAATGTAATAACAATTGACACAAAGTAAAACATTAAACTAACTTGGGCATAGGCCAATCCAAATTACTCAAAAGTTTGAATATTTGAATATTTTAAAGACTAATATTCAATCATTTTAAGCCAATAGAATTAATACTTAACAAATTTTGCCAAGCCAGTTTTAATTGTTAACACGTATTTGTTTTAGTAACACATGCTAACTTACAAAAACTTAATGAATTAAAAAGTCTTTTAAAATACTTCATTTATTAGTTTCACATTCCTTCTACAATTTTGTTTATACTAATAATTTAATAAATTATTTCTTTGTGAGAGTTCAAAAGTAAATTTCCATGTAGTCTAGGTTAAATTGTCACCAATTCTGAATAAGTGAAATTTCAATTAATAAGTGTTTACTGTAGACTGTAAGTGTTTTTATATACTTATGTTTATATCAGCATATATAAAGAAGTCAAGCTCTGAACAAAATTGTAAAAAAGATAAAATTTTATCCATGGTCACTAACCTCTCTTATTAAGGCATTAAATATTGAGTGCCTGCTATGTGCTAGACACATATTCTAGGTAGGAGCTGGGTGAACTAACAGTGGTCAATGAGACAAAGAGGGTCCCTTCTGTAGTGGGAAAACAGTCAATAAAACAAGTAAATCAGATAATTTCCAATTGTGTTAAATGCCGATAAAATACTGAGAGAAAGTGTGTCTCAGGTGGAGAGGTGGGGTAACTTTAGATAGGGTGGTCCTGAGTAGGTGACATTTAAGCTGAGACTTGATTGAGAAGAAACCAGCCAGGCATTGACTTTGGGAGAGAATATTTCTGGCAGAACAGCAAATACAAAGAGTTGAAGGGGAGTTTAGAGAGTCCAAGGAACAAAAAGAAGGCCAATGTTGGACGCCTGGGTGGCTCAGGTGGTTAAGCGACTGCCTTTGGCTCAGGTCATGATCCTGGAGTCCTGGGATCGAGTCCTGCATCAGGCTCCCTGCTCAGCAGGGAGTCTGTTTCTCCCTCTGATCCTTCCCCCTCTCATGCTCTCTCTCTCTGTCTCATTCTCTATCTCAAATAAATAAATAAAATCTTTAAAAAAAAAAAAAAGTAGGCCAATGTTAATGGGAATGGAATGCAATGAGCAGTAGGGGAGGGAGAATAGACCAGAGGAGCCTAAGGAGATAGGCAGGGCCAGAGCATTCAGGACTGTATAGGTAAGGAGTTTCAATTTTATTTTAGGTGCAAATAAAAGCCACTTGAAGGTTTTAAGTAGAAATGTAACATCATTTGATTTATATTTTAAATTAAAAATCACTCCGGCTGCTGTTAAGACAATATACAGTGGAAGGAGAATAAGATTGGAATCCAGGAGAATGGTGCTTAATCTGTTAATGCTGTACTGGTGAAAAATCACCAGTGCTTAGACCAGCATGGCAGAGAAGGAAAGAAATGAAAAGATTCAGGATATATTTAGCAGTAAAACTGATTGGACTTGATAGATTGGTTGTAGAGTGTAAGGAAAAGATCCAAATCAAGGATGACTCAGATTTTTGACAGATTACTTGAATGGATTATTTCCTGCGATTCTCTATTCCTATGGTCTCTAAAGCCTCTTCCCTTTATTAAAGGAGCAGAGTCCTGAACTCTACTTTTCTCTTTTCAAAATCAGTTCTTACATTGGTAAAGTTTAATATGTTATTTCACAATATATATTTTCCTTGTAACTGGCAGAAATGCCTGTATTTGCTTATATCAATGTCCTGCATGTCAACCTTCAGTAAGTCAACTAGAAATAGATATTTGGGGGAATAAGGAAGGACAGCCAAGGTGTTGCTTTATATACATCATATTTTCTGCAAGATTATTTCTTATTAGGAATAAATGTTGAAATAAGACAAAAAAATTCTTGTGATCCATCATGAAAAAATATTTTATAGAGTAAAAATAAGATTTTTGTTCTCTGTTATATTTCAGCTAAGGATGGTTGTTCTAGCTGTAAGTATTTTTAAATTGTATGTTCTTTCTTAAAGACTGTCAAATTCGGCCTTGCTTATTTAAATAACACTAAAACCAGCAATTGATTATGTCACTTTATTCAAACAAATGATCTATTCAGTGGAAAAAAGTAACAAATTAATATTTTGGGGGGTCATTTTGTACTTTGTTTTTTGCTGAATCCATTTAATAGTTTAGTCTAAACATCCAATTTAGTTCTCCTTGAATAGTCTTCTATAACTCAATTACAAATTATTTTTAAATAGGTATACACCAATCCAGAAGACCCTCAGGTAGGTGTGCTTAAGTTAGTAAAGAAACATGATATCTCTAATATCTAAATATAACATAAATTATAATATCTTATGCTTTTATTTTTTTCTTTTTCTTTTTTTTATCTTATGCTTTTAATTGTATTCACTTTCACATGTATTTACACATTTGAACCTCATAAAGGCTTTTTTGAGGTAAGACAAGGATTGTATTGTTATCTTTAAACAGATTAATATACTTACTACCAGAGAGATTGTGTGACTGATCCTGGGCCACAAATCCAAAACCCCTTAGAAATAACCTAAATCGGGCGCCTGGGTGGCTCAGTTGGTTAAGCGACTGCCTTCGGTTCAGGTCATGATCCTGGAGTCCCGGGATCGAGTCCCACATCGGGCTCCCTGCTCGGCGGGGAGCCTGCTTCTCCCTCTGACCCTCCCCTATCTCGTGCTCTCTCTCTGTGTCTCATTCTCTCTCTCAAATAAATAAATAAAATCTTTAAAAAAAAAAAAGAAAGAAAGAAAGAACCTAAATCTCCTGACTTCTGCTTCTATATAACGTTCTTTTTATAAAATTATGAAAGGGGTTGAGTTTGACAAAAAATAAGATACTTATCCTTGAACTTTGAATATTCGTCCCAATCCAGTCACATCCACCTGTTCATCTGACAATTAAAGAAGGGATTACAAGAAGTGATAGGGAAAACCAATAACAAGGAACAAAGTGGAAAGATATTTGAGTACCTACTATTATTAGACTCTGTTCTTTGAGTTGTCTCATTTACTCATCATCATAAACTTCATAAGGTAACTACCATTATCATCTCCACTTTATAGGTAAGGAAACCCAGATACAAGATTTCTTGCCTAAGATCACAGTGGCAGAACCAGAATTTGGACCTAAGGAGGCCAGTCCATGATCTTGGTGCTTTAACCATTACACTATCACTATTATAATATAGTTTTTCATTCAGTCGTGGAGAAGCAGATTTTTTTTTAAAAAAGAGAGAGCTGATCCCCATTCCTATGTAAGCACTGAAATGTAAAGAAAGCAATAAAAAAAGCTTCAAGAAGGCTAGCAATGTGTCTTCTCTTTGATACTCACCCCTGAAGTTAATGCTTAATATATGTCCATGGTGACAAAGAAAATCTCATGGGCAAAGGTTGTGAATTAGTTGATTGTTCAGAAGCTAACTAATTGTTCAGAAAATATTCATTTAGTTTCAGATGTTTTATGTAGTTGAACATTTTTTCTTTCAGTAAAAGAGCAACCTTGTTGATTCACTAATATTTATTGATTGTTTGGTGTGCCAGGCACTATTTTAAGGGCTCTGTATAAATTATCCTATTTGTTAAATATCCACAACCACCAATGAGATAGGTACTATTTTCAACCCCTTTTATTAGCTGAGGAAACTAAAACCTAGAAGGCTTAAATAACTTGCTTCCGGTTATATACAGCAAGGATTTAAGCCCTGTGCTTAAAGCCATTCTGCTTGAGTAAGACATAATACTGCCCCTCTTACCTGCCTGCTAAGGATTTCCTCCCCTCTGGTATATATGATATACATTACAATTAGTGGGATAATATATATCTCACTTAAGACTGAAGCCCCAAATCCCAAATCATGGGAATTTACTATTAGGACTTGAAAATTTCAGTGGACCAATAAAGATTAACATGGCAGAAAAAACTATTAAATCAATGTTAAGAGTCATACAAAAGCTGTATGTAGCTACTTGGCCACCGGTACTGTATATCAAATACATAACTGCAATGTTTTCTATTTAAGACAATTTCAGAATGTTACCAATTTAAATTCAAGTACTCTAGTAATGGACCAATCATGGACTTCATAAGGTATTTTATCATTTTCTTTTTGTATTACAGATTACCACTTATTCATATTAATAATATATTGCTAAACTTCAGGATTAATTCTTAAACTTCTCAAACATCCCCAGTTAACCATTGAGGTGTGGCTGTACAAAATATCCTTCATAGCTGCAAGCCCAGATTATGTGGCTAATTATATACTATTTTAATGTGAAACAGAGCCAAAGAGTAGGAAAGCTATTATATACTTGAGTGATTAGAAATGTAATTAAAGTCCCTCACTCATTTCCTTTAAACATCTTATATAAAATGCATATTAATTTAAATAAAATTATTAGTTTATAACATTATTAGTAATGATATTAATTTTAATAATAGTGACATTAAAACACATTTTATGGTAACTTTCAACTTAAAAACTTAATGGTATAATAGGAATAAGAATATCAAATAGTAAAATGTGAAGTTGTTATTAGAAGCCCTGGTGTCATAAAAGAAATTAATGTGTGCTTCTCTTCTAGTAAAAACCAAAGCAGTGAATCTAGTATGTCATCTGCTGACACCAAGAAAGCAAGTATTCTCCTCATTCGCAAGATTTATATTCTAATGCAAAATCTGGGACCTTTACCTAATGATGTTTGTTTGACCATGAAACTTTTTTACTACGATGAAGGTACTATTTATAATACATCCTGTTGGTACCTATATGTTTTATTATTGAAACAATTGGTTTTCATCCCAAATGATTTTAAGCACCTAAATTGCAATGTATTTTTGAAATTATAAAATTTTCATTTAATATCAGTATTTGAAAAAGAAAGATTCAGGGGCTCCTGGGTATCTCCATCAGTTAAGCGTCTGCCTTTGGCTCAGGTCATGATCTCAGGGTCCTGGGATTGAGCCCTGCATCAGCCCCCGCCAGCGAGAAGTCTGCTTCTCCCTCTCCCTCTGCACCTCCCCACCATTTGTGTTCTCTCTCCCTCTCTCTATCCAACAAATAAATAAAATCTTAAAAAAGGAGAAAGTTTTGAAAAAATAGACTTTCAAATATACACAAACTTTTCCAGTGATATGAACATATCCATCTTAGGTACAACCTCACTAATAATAAAAGAAATGAAACTGTTGAGATGCTACTTTTCACTTACCAGAGCAGTAAGATTTGTAAACAAGGGTGTGGGGGAAAGCAGGCACTTTTATAAATTCTTGAGGGAATGTATATAGGTGCAACATTTTTAGAGGACAATTTAGCAGTATTGAAATTTTAGATGCACATTCTCTTTAATTCGGAAATTCTATAGCTAGAAAAGTATCTTGGGAATATACTTAACACAAACATGCAACGTTATAGGTTTATAAGGATACCATGGAAGCTATTAAAAAGAATGTGCTGATAATTTATCCAAGGAATATTAAATATGGATTAAAAAGAAATGTTAAAAACAGCTAGGTAGGTATAGGGGCACCCGGGTGGCTAAGTCGGTTAAGCCTCCGACTCTTGATTTTGGCTCAAGTCATGATCTCAGAGTCATGAGATTGAGTCCCATTGGGCTCTGCACTCAGTACCAGTCTGCTTGTTCCTCTCCCTCTGCTCCTCCCCATCCCCAACCTCCCCACCCCCCACATGCACACACACACACACACACACATGCTCTATCTCTCTCAAATAAATAAAATCTTAAAAAAAAAACAGCTAGGTATCAAACAGTATGATCTTATTTGTGTTTTGTTAAGGATATACATATATATGAAATATATATTTTACATGTGTAATATCTTCTAGAAGTACATAAAGCAACAACAATAATAACAACTAACATTTATTGAATACTTAAAATGTGCCAGTTCTGGTCTGAGCATTTTACACACTTTAATTCATCTAACACCCACAATGACCCCATGAGGTAGGTACTATATTATCCCCATTTCAGATGAGAAAACCAAATCAAGGATGATAAATAATTTATTCAAGTTCATATAGTCAAATGAAGAAAAAAAAGGTTGTTTTTCTATACTATTTGAAATGTCCTCAATCTGTATTTATTATTATTATGTTCCCTTCAATTTCATGAACATCACAGTTTATACTTACTTTTTGCAGTTACACCCCCAGATTACCAGCCTCCTGGTTTTAAGGATGGTGATTGTGAAGGAGTGATATTTGAAGGGGAGCCTATGTACTTAAATGTGGGAGAAGTCCCGACACCTTTTCACACCTTCAAAGTAAAAGTGACTACTGAGAAAGAACGAATGGAAAATATTGATTCAGCTATATTGTCACCAAAACAATTAAAAACACCACTTCAAAAAATTCTCATGGACAAAGATGATGTAGAAGATGAACAGGAGCATTATATAAGTGTCAGTACATTTTAAAGAGTTATAAAGTACAATAGTAACAAATGTTTGACTCAATTCTGAAGACTAATTCTAGTTCTCATTAATATTTATGTAAAGACTGTATTATAATCATAAACTCAAGGTTGGTAGGGACCTTAAAGAAAGTATCGGCTTTTCGTTTTAAAACTCTTTACCTTGGTACAAACATTATTATCAGAAATTTAAAAGCACAACTATTCTGAATGAAGCAGGGAATGGTCCTGGAGGCCCAGTCACTCACCACCTCAACTACCCTCATAGTGGACTCTAAGGAAACTCTTTGGTCTGGAGCATAATTTGAAAACCACTGAACTACTCCAATCGCCCAAATAATGTTGGAATCCTTTCTACCATACCCCTACTAGGTGCTCACTTTAGACCTGTGCTTGAACTTCCTTGGGGCCTGCAAAGTCACTGTCCTGAAGCAGCCTGGAAGTTCCCAGAAGGCAGGAAAAATGTCTCATCTTCGTAAACCTCCTGTGCCTAGCACTTAAGTATACAGTGTGCATTCTCAGTATTGGTTGAATGAATGGATGACTAGAAATATAAAAAAGCCTTTTTTTAATTGTTGCCTCCCGGGAAATCTTTCACATTAACGTGATTGTTTCTTAATCTCATCTTTGTTGTTATTCTGTTACCTCATTTTATTCTAAATTATAACCTCGGTACTTATGTACAGAGACTGACTTTTCTAATTTAGGTTCTGCCACATCCTAACAAATAGAAAATTCAGTTTTCAACCAGTTTAGTTCAAGAAGAAGTCTTCTCTAAACCTAAATCCCAGTGATGGTTTATAAACAGATATAGCTGGGATTTATGTTGCATTCTTTAAAATACTTAAAGCTCTTTGACATATGTCACAAAGAGAAAAATAATTATAAAGTAGACCTTAAACTTGTTGCTATTTCTACCATACCATGACTGAGCTTTTTCTTCACTAACTCCCTGAAGAGGGTTAGGGCATTTTTTTTTATTCAGAGTATATGATAACATCTGTATAGCAATTCCGGAGATAAAGAAGATATAGAAGGAGTGGTTGTATGAATTTGTCTAATTCATTGCCCTCAAACAATAGTAAGAACTAAGGGTTTTAAAACCATTATATTTTTGAGAAAGTTGTGTATTTTGTCCTTAAAGCAACCCTGCAAAGTAAAGTAGTAGTTTATACTTTATTTGGATAAATATGGTACCTTGTATGGTAATTATAGGACTTTATTTCTAGCAAGTGTAAGGTAGTTGTAGTGTTATGTTATATTTAACCTTCACGTAAAACACATCTGTTCACAAATACCTCTACCCAGTTGTTTTAATTGCTTTTTGAAATGTGTCCATTTTTTTCTTCATGTAATTATGTAGGATGATTTTGACATTGAAACTAAAATGGAAGAGCAGAAAAAAAACCCTGGATCTTCTGAACTTGGAGGTAAGAAATTGATGAAAACATAGATTAATTTACTTCTAATTCAGTTTTATACCATTTTAACTCTTTTTTTTTTAACAGAACCAAGTTTAATTTGTGAGGAAGATGAAATTATGAGGTCTAAAGAAAGTCTAGATCTTTCAATTTCTCATTCTCAGGTATAAATTTGATAATTCATCTCACTTTTAATTTTTTTTCAGAAGACTATGACTTATATGCTTATTTAGTTAATTTTCAGATTTTCTTATTATATTCAAGGTCTTTTAGAAGAAAATTAGGTCTTGGGGCCCCTGAGTGGCTCAGTCGTTAAGCATCTGCCTTCGGCTCAGGTCATGATCCCAGGGTCCTGGGATCGAGCCTTGCATCGGACTTCCTGCTCAGCGGGAAGCCTGCTTCTCCCTCTCCCACTCCCCCTGCTTGTGTTCCCTCTCTCGCTGTGTCTCTCTCTGTCAAATAAATAAATAAAATCTTAAAAAAAAAAAAAAAGAAGAAGAAGAAAATTAGGTCTTAAGAAAGCTTTTTAACAAAATTTGAAAAATATATGTTGAAAAGTTTTGAGTATATTACTGTGGCTTTATTTAGTAATAAACCTAAATACTGCTCATAGAATTTCAGAATTTCAGAGCTAGATAGAATCTTAAGCAATTATTCCAGCACCTTTTGTATTTACAAATGGAGAATATAATACTTTTTGTTGCCTGGAGCAGACACGATTAATTTCATTTTCCAAAGACCAATAAAATCTTGATATAACATTTAGATAAAAAGAACTTGAAAATAATGGGACTGATTATTGTCCACCTTCCTCTGCACTTCCCCTTTCTCCAGTGGGAGTGAGCTAAAGTCCTTATCTTCTGGAAGAGTAGTGTAGTGCCTGATGATCATTTGGGACTTTTTCAGTTCAGTGAATGATCAATTATATACAGTGTCAGTTTCACTATCTTCATCTTTGCCCTTTTTGTGACAGTAAGAACTACTTAAAATTAATGGTTTTCATTAACATAATAAGACGCTAGATTTTATCTTAGTGAGTTTTGGAGCCCCATTATTATGTTATGGAAAGTTTTTATTATGTTATGTGATTTTGTGTTATTATTTTCTAGGTTGAACAGTTAGTCAGTAAAACATCTGCACTTGATGTGTCTGAAAGTAAAACAAGAAGTGGAAAAATCTTTCAGAATAAAATGGTAAGTGTACCTTTAGGTTTTTTTTCCATTCTAACCTTATAATTTTTTCCCACATGTGAGTTTATTTGACTTCTTAATCCTTCCTTTATTGGACTAATATTTAGTAAGCACTTATTATGTGTCAGATATTTTACTGGGTGCTGGAGATATAACATGAATAACACATAGTTCCTGATCTTAGCTAAAAGTTTAGTAATTGGAAGTCAACAAGCAGTGATAGAGGGTCATGATAGCAGTTTGAATAGGCTACATGGAACAAAGGAAAGAATGGTGAATTTTATTGAAGGTACATAAAAGAGGAGAATTCAGGAAAGGCTTTGAGAAGTGACACTATCATCCAGACTCCCAAAGAATAGCCTAGAATGCCAAAATATTCTCATGTTCTATCTTGTAAATAGATTGTCTTGTTAATAAGACATTAAAAATGAATGTTTTGTATATATTTTGCATAAAATGAATCTCATGTTTTTCAGCAAAAAACCCACTGCTTTATTTTAGTTTTTTATTTGTACTAAATGGAAATTTGTATTTTATTTTAGAACTTTAAGTTACTCAAAGGATCAGAGATGAAGAAAAACCATTCTGTAAAATATTATATCTAAATTTAGGAAACAAATAGCACACTCTAACAGTGGTATAGTGGCATTTCTTCCCAACTCTTCATTCAGTGACGTCATGTTGGTAGCTTGAAATTGGACATGATGAGAATATTCACATCATGGAAATCAGCAAATGCTTCAACTCAGGATTTGTTACTCCTAGAGAACTGGTTGTTAAACATTTACCAGCACACCAATGATTATAGTGCCATTTTTAGGTGCCCTCTTTTCCACATTCAAGAGTCATACGCTCTTCCAACTGAGCCGGCCAGGTCCCCTTTTTCTACATTCTCCATAGGAAGTTTGAACTGGCAGAAGGCAGTATTCAAACTAGTATGCTGATGAAAGCAAGAGATAAAAGAATTTCAAAAATTAGTACAGCTTGTGGTAAAATGGTCTTCTAGGCAAATTCTACTTAGGATGAGTATCCTTTACTAGGATATGGGGAGAAAAGCAAGAATTTAAAAAAAAGTATTAGAAAGGATTTTCTTGTAATATGACATTAAGATACTTCGGGGACATAAATTCATTTCTGAAATTGCCAATGTTTTTGGATATGACCTCTCTGTCACAGTACTCCTGATTTTGAGAATCATAGCTGAATTATTGTTAGGAAAGGGCAAGAAATGAAAATATTTAATAGTATTAAACTAAGAAAGTTATTGAAAAGTACATTTTCAGCAACGGAAAATAAGTATGTCCTTTTAGAGAATAGTAATATGACAGCTAATAATGTTTCATCATCCAATATTCATTTTAAAAACTGCATAGATAGCATTATTTACAATAGGCAAAAGGTGGAAGAAACCTAAATATCCATCAACAGACAAATGGATATACAAATATAGTATATCTATACAATGGAATATTATTCAGCCATACAAGGAATGAAGTACTGATGTATGCTTCAACCTGGATAAACCTTGGAAACATGCTAAATGAAAGAAACTAGTCACAGAAGTCCACATATTATATGATTCTATTTATCTGAAAGTCCAGAATAGGGATTTCTATAGAGAGAGAAAGTCTTAGAGCTAGTGGGAGAAGGGGGGAATCGGGAAGTGATAGCTTTACTCTATATTCAAAGAACCCAGGTATCCTATCTTAGTAGGAAATAGTTATACTAGGCATAATTTTCAAAAGAAAGAAGAGAATTAAGAAAGGGAACAAATCAACCTCAGGGTTTCTTTTTGGAGTGATGAAAGTGTTCTAAAATTGAATACAATGATGTTGCACAACTCTGAATATACTTAAAATTATTGAACTGTAAAATTATAAATAAATGAATTGTATGGCATCTGAATTATATCTCAGGAAAGCTTTTTTTTTTAAAAAAAAATGCATATAGTTGCCCATAGTTAAAAAATCAAGTGTTGGTTGTTCTTTGAGAAATAACCAATTAGTAATTATTCCATCTTTGTGGAGGCTAATGGAAATCAACCAGTAAAATCTTCTAAAGAAAATCGGAAGAGAAGTCAACTCGAACCTGGGAAAACAGTAAGTTTTATAATATATAGGTTGAATAAAATGGCAAGTATCAGACTATCATTACTATAGATTAAATTTTATTTTTATTTATTTATTTATTTTTAATTTATTTTTTTTTAAGAGAGGGAGATCAGGGAGGAGGGTCAGAAGGAGAAGGAAAGAGAAAGAATCTTAAGCAGGCCCCATGCCCAGTGCAGAGCCTAACTCGATTTCACAACCCTGAGATCTGACCTGAGCCAAAGTCAAGAGTTGGATGCTTAACGGACTAAGCCACCCAGGCGCCCCTAGATTAAATTTTAAATTATAAATATGATAATATCTCTGGATATTACCTCCAAGTACTGATATCTAAATCTTGTTTATATGTAATTGGTTCTAAAAAATGGGGTGATTTTAAAATAAGATGTGCTATGTTAATTAATTTTTTCCACATAAATATTTACTGATTTCATGAATGATTTAAGTAGTTGGAGAAATTTATAAAAAAATTAAAATCAGTATGTCCAGAAAAGTATGAGTAGAATGAGAAAATGAGAGTATAAGAATATTTAGGCCATTTTATTTACATAGAGCTAAAGTTGGGCCACAAATTTGATCTGAGCTTCCTAGAGAACAAAAGTGAAGTATAAATAAGTTACCAAATAAACTTGTTCCCCAAAAAATAACATCTTCTCTTAGTACCTTAGGAGAAAGAAAAATTTTCTTGACCTAAATTTTTTTAACAGTTGTTTCATATTTGGAACCTTATTTTACCAAATTAGATCATGTATTTGTCATTTCTGAGATAAATATTTATATTTTTCAACTAGAATTTTTAGTATTATTAGTAGGTTAACATTTAGACAACTGAATATCTAAGACTGCTTTAAAAATCAAATGTTAAAGGGGTAATCTCAAAAATATAGTTAATATCATTTTCAGTTTACGTAACTTAAGGGGATGAAATAACCTGACACTTCATTAATATATTGTCTAACTTTTCCCAGTGTATTAAGCTTTGATTTTTTTTTCAAAATCATTCAATTTGTATCATTAGTGAGTTCTTTCAGAAAAAATCAAAGTTGAATATCTCAGGGAATACTTTTAGGAATTTTCTTTTTTTTTTAAGATTTTGTTTATTTATTTGACAGAGAGAGAGAGACAGCACAAGCAGGTAGAATGTGGGAGAGGGAGAAGCAGGCTCCCCACTGAGCAGGGAGCCCAATGTGGGGCTCAATCCCAGGATCCTGGGGTCATGACCTGAGCAGAAGGCAGACGCTTAACTGACTGAGCCACCCAAGCACCCCAGAAATTTTCTTTATTTGTTCTCCCATTCATTCAAAAGTGTGCAGTGAATGTCTAACATCTGTCAGGCACTGCTAAGTACCAGGGATACAAAAGGAATACATGATTTAAATCTTACATGGTGCCAAGGTAGAATGTTTCTCTATCTGCAGCTCATTTAAAAATCTTTTTTCCTTCTTATCCCCCCAAAATATTTTACTATTTTGAGGACATAATGTTAGATCTATGTTTTTGACTTCTCCAACAACCCTAATGAAGACCTTACACTTTATAAGTATATACTTTCAGCAGCCATCAGAAGATATATCAGTAATAAAATTTACCCTACTTTTTAAAGAACTCAGGTATCCTATCTTAGTAGGAAATGGTTACACTACATATAATTTTAAAAAGAAAGGGAAGGAAGGAACAAGCAAACAAATCTCAGAAACATAAAAAAAATCTAAAAGTAAAGACATGTAAACTGGAAAGTATCCTCAGTAGTTGTTTTCTTTTGACAGGTCCTTCATCGCTTTGATTCTTCTAGTCAAGAGACAGTGCCAAAAAGAAGAAAGTTTAGTGAACCAAAGGAGCATATATAAAAATTATTTTTTTCTTCTGCATGTTTGCGAAGTACTCAACATTTAAACTACAGGACACTGTATTACTATTTTAACGTGTATTTGACCTACCTGTGAAAATTTATATGTAATCTTAAGCAGTTAGTACACTAAAATGAATTTTTAGCTGTCATATTGTGATCCTTAGTCTTATCTGAGACAATGCAAGAGAACTTTTGAATAAAACCAAAAGTACTAGTGTCATAATTGATTTTGCTCATTATCTACTCAATATTGATTTTCCATTTTGGTGGATACTTCCTTTAAACATATATTAACTTTTAAGGCCCTCTAGAGCCAATTTTAAAAACAAATAATGTTTATTTTGTTATTAAATTTTGGTAGGAATTTACTTTTTACTTATGTTAAAGCTGTAACACTTAACTGGCTGTTTGTCCCTGTGTCATTAAAACAATGTTCTTCGGCACTTTGATAGAGTATATTAACATAGTAATACATAACATACCATTAAAAATTGGTAATGGTCATATTTTAAATATGTCAGTGTGTGTCTGGATTTACTATGTTGGGTGCAACTGCCAAAAGAACTGGCCTAAGTGGCAACAGAATACTCTAGAAGAACAAGGAATTGCGACAATGACTTGGGTCAGAGCTTGGAGACCGTCTCAGCAGCATACTTCTGGAGCCAGGTGGTAGAACTGGGAACAAGGCTGGCATCTGATAGGAGGATTTTGTAAAGGCAGAGGCAAAATAAGGGACTGACAAGGAAGGGGGAAGGAGATAAAAAAAAATTACTATTCTGGGACAACATTTTCTACTTCCGATCCGTTTGAATGACTTAAGTAAAATTTAGTCGTGCTTTTTTTTTTAAATCTTTTTAAACTTTTTTTTTTACTTCAAGGCAAAATGAGGACTGATTTTTAAGGTCTGGCATTTTGGGCAGTATAAATAAAATATTGTTCAGCATCTAGACTATTCCATGGCTTCTACTTTTTATTTAATTAGCAGAAAATGTTTAGGTACTAATTTTGAGATCATTTTGGTAGATGATACTTTGCAAGAGTTGAGCACACTTCCCAGAACTTTGAGTGATAGGTAGTGTGAAAGATACTGCGCGTTTAGTGAGAAACATGGGACCTGGTTTCAGCTTTGACCATTTCCTTTGCCTTAAAAAAGGAAGACTTAAAACTTGGTCTGTTTGCTTCTTGCAGTTTCAGCAGCCATATTATAAAATATAAGATTAGCCATAGGTTTGCCAGTAACAAACGCTAATACAGAAGGTTGGTGTGTATGTAATGGTAGAAATGTACCTATCCTGTTTAAGGTAAACCAAATAAACCTCCACAAACTGACCCAGATCAGGTTTTTCTGGAACAGGAAAGTTAGGGACAAGCTAATTGTCGAAAACAACCAATTTTAAAATGTTTATTTATTCTTAGCTTTTTGGATCCCAGCACATCTCACCTAATTGTCCTAGAATACACTGCTACAGTTAACACACCTGCTACAGATTGACCAACAAAAACCTTTGTAGATCGGCAGCTTGTGCTAGCTCACTGAACGCTTTGATTGGCCGGTTTAATGGGGGTGGGGAGCACAGCTCCCTTTCCTCTCTTCTGCCAAGGTTACTTCATTGGATTGACCAGCTGTCAGGTTGACCCAAACCTGCCTCCTTTTGGTGGTGTTTGTCGGGATCGCAACACAATAGCCCGAGGAGAGCCTCCCCTTGTAAGCTCCGATTGGCTGGACTCAACCTTGGCGGTTTCTGATTGGTCCAATGAAGAAACACCAAGGTAGGTTGCCTAGGGATCCTGAGGAAGCTGATGTGTTATTCCTTCTCTGCATCGAAGGATCAGGAAGTTTGTGCTCTCTGCGTGGCTGAGAAGTTTTTTTACCTACTAGGACGGGGTGGGGGGAGGGACGTGGGGGAACAGGTGTCCCCCTAAAATAGAGCGCAAGCTGCTGCCTGTGTCCGGCCGTAACCCAGGAGTTAACGTCAGGTAAGCAACGGAGGATATACATTTCCTAATGTCCAAAAAAGCCTACAGATTTTTTATTTTATGGGGAGAGGGAGGTTCTTATTTAGTTACTTTTTGGTCTTTTTTTTTTTTTTCCAAATAGGATTTTTAACTAGTAAATGTCCAGGGGGTATTAGTTCCTCAAAATCTCCCCCCCCCCTTTTTTTTTCTCTGAAGACTTAAAGTTTCTTGGATTGGGTTAGGAAATAAACCCTGTTCACAGTGCCAGATAGGGTTAATGCCCTTAAGCATTATTTCATGGTTGTTTTTTTATCCTTCACCCTTCTTCCCGCCTCCCACCAAGAATTGTATTTGAAATATAGCCTTGTACAAAGAATCTTTTGTAAGTCACTTCACTTGTATTTCTATTTAAAAATGTTCACATGCATTTCTGAGTATTCATTTTAATCAGTATATATTTATTGAGCAGTTACAACGTTAAAGACATTGTGCTAGTTGCTATGGAGACTATAAAAACCCAAGAAGACAATATCCCTGCCCTCAAGAAGTTTACAGTTGAGAGACAGCCATACCAAAAGAAAGACTATAATAAATACTTTAAAGGATGTAAGTATAAATAAAGTTCTGTGAAAGTACAGCTGAGACAGAGACCATTTCTGGCCATGGGACATAAGGGTAATGGAGAAGGGGATTCACTTAAGGCTTTACCTGGATCCTAGATAGGCCTTTTGAAGAATGGGTAGAATATAAAGAGGAAAAGAAAGGGGAGAGAGCACCAGCCATGTACAAAGGAGCAGAAATGGCAGCATGGGACATGTTTGAGAAATGGTTTGTTAACAGTACGTAACTGAGAGTAATGTAATGGGAAATATTGCTAGAACAGGATCTAATCACAGAGGCTCTTGAATGCATTCTTTTGATCTTGAAAAAGATATTCTTTTAAATAATTACTGATTAAAATATTTATTGTATATCATCTTAAAAACTGACATTTAGATGTATTTTAAAATAAAGTATGCTAACTTTAAATTTTATCATACATGATTTAGTGCCATTTCTCTTGACTAAATTTTTTAAAACATTTGTAGTACATAGTGTAAAAGGGCATGTGCTTTAATTTTTTTTTGCAATTGAGAAAGAAATCGTTAATCTTTTAACATTCTCTTGCTGATACTTTTTGTTGGCAGCTATTTGAGTATTTGCAAGATGGCTAGCTAGGGATAGAGATGAAAGTTTTCTGTCCGTATGGAATTACTACACATGATCTTCTGAGTGTTACTCTGCAGATGTGATTTCCAAAGGGAGTGCATGAGATGAGTTATGAGAAGAAAATCTGAGAATATATATATTTAATTTTTCTTATTTTTTTACTTTCTCTGTTTTTTATATTTTTTGATGTGCCATTGAATGTTTATAGAAGTTACATATAAATTATTACATGCATTTTGGGCCTGGATTCTCACAATTTTTTGCTGTCCCATATTATTTAACTTGGGGGAGGATCCATTTTGTGAAAAAAGAATTACAATGATGCATATATACTTCTGGATTATAGATTATGCACACAAAATCAGCAGGCTTAAAAGATGATCATTTCTTTATTTATTTAATTTATTTATTTATTTAAAAGATTTTATTTATTTATTTGACAGAGAGAGACACAGCGAGAGAGGGAACAGAAGCAGGGGGAGTAGGAGAGGGAGAAGCAGGCTTCCCGTCGAGGAGGGAGCCCGATGCGGGGCTCGATCCCAGGACCCTGGGATCATGACCTGAGCCGAAGGCAGACGCTTAACGACTGAGCCACCCAGGCGCCCCGATGATCATTTCTTTAAAAAAAGATCATTTGTACTGGTCTTTAAGATTACTGATTTGATTTTCTGTCAATGCCTTCTGTGCCTTCAAGCTATTGTACTTTAGAAAACATATTGTGTTATCCACCTAATTTTTCTGGTCATTGCCCCTTTCTTTCTCTGTTTAAGTTTATATATATTTCATATTTGTATACATTTGTGGTAGGTCTGTATGAATATGTATGTTTTTGTTTACATAAGCTCACTTACAGATTTTTTTTTCATCACCCCCTCCAGAAAGAGGTGAGAATGACAACTTTAACTCACCGGGCCCGTCGCACTGAAGTAGGCAAGAACTCTGAAAAGAAGATGGAAAGTGAGGAAGACACTAATCAAGACAGGAGTCCAGACAGTGAAGACTCTGGTGACTCTAAGGATATTCGCCTCACGCTTATGGAAGAAGTATTGCTCCTGGGACTAAAAGATAAAGAGGTAACACAGTTGGGTTTGCTAGGACTCTCCCAAAGACTCTTGAATATTGGAATGTTTTTAGGAAGTAATCTGACAGAATGTTTGTTTTTTTAAAGATTTTATTTATTTATTTGAGAGAGAGAGAATGAGAGAGAGCACATGAGAGGGGTTAGGGTCAGAGGGAGAAGCAGACTCCCTGCCAAGCAGGGAGCCCAATGCGGGACTCGATTCAGGGACTCCAGGATCATGACCTGAGCTGAAGGCAGTCACTTAACCAACTGAGCCACCCAGGGACCCCAGAATGTTTTCATTAATGCTAAGTTGTCTTTAGAACTGTGCTCTAGCCGTCTGGGTGTTGGGGGAGTTTGGGAGTGTGGCTGATGATTGGAGGATAAAATCCAGAAGTATAATTACTTGAAGTGTAATGTAATTACAAAATTCCTCCAAAATTGGAAGATATGAGAGAGTATAACACATGTAAAATTTCTGTACTTATAGTTTCCCAAGTGAGATTGATGGTGAAATAGCCTCCTGTTAAACTAAGAAAGAGGGCCCATACATTGAAATTGTCTTGAACTATGAGGAGGAAAATCTTTTAAATGACAAGACAAGAAACATGTATGATTAGCTGTTGTACAAAAATAAACAGTGGATAGGTTTCAACTTAACAATGCAGTAGAAATCTTTTTTTTAATTCATTTCTGTGGATCTTTAGAAATTAAATATCAACAACTGATAAAGGAATATTTTAATTTTAGAAAATGTTTTTAAATTAATTGCAGATTTCTCTAAGTTTTCCCTTATTAATAGAACACTTTGTAATAGAATTAGTCTTGAGATAGCAAGTCTTAACGGTAAAACCACATATTTGTTGGTTTTTCTACTGTAGTACATTATCCTCCATTTGTAATTTAACTTTTTATTGTTTTACTTTCTTCCCTCATGAAGAGGTTATGAAGAAATATAACTGTTAATATTTTTAAAAACCGGGCGCCTGGGTGGCTCAGATGGTTGAGCGTCTGCCTTCTGCTCAGGTCATGATCCCGGGGTCCTGGGATCGAGTCCCGCATCGGGCTTCCTGCTCCTTGGGAGCCTGCTTCTCCCTCTGTTTCTGTCTCTCATGAATAAATAAATAAAATCTTAAAAAAAAAAAAAAAAATTTTTAAAAACCTACTTCTTTTCCAAGAAAGCCTTTACTACATACAACAACAACAACAATAATAATAATAATAATAATAATAAAACACATTTATTATTTGCCTTGGTTTTGAAAACTTAACATATTAAAATGTTACTTTACATTAAAAAAGACTAAATTTGGCTTTGATAATTATCCTTAGCTAGTAATGAATTGACTACATTCATCTGATAACATCTGTTCTTTTCTGCATTGATTCCTCAATTTGGGATTATCCTTGTTTCTTAGACTTTACATTTTCTTTACCACTTTCCCTTCTCTATTTTTTGTCACATCAAATTACCGACTTGAACAAAACTTCCAAGACTTCTTATAGCCTGTGTATTGTTAAAATTAATATTAGGGACATGCATATATGTACTTGGCCAAGACATAGATATCAGAAAATCTTGCCTGCAAGTGTACTTTCCTGTTTGCTGAGAAAGTTGATGAAGCTCTAGTTTTATGAAAATAAAGCAAATAAAAATGCACAACTGACTCTCCAAGAGAATATCAGAGTAGGTCTGAAGATTAGGTGGTATAAATACTGTTTTGAGATGTTTACACAGTACTTAGGAAATGTGCATTGTAGAAGAGCATATTAGAACTAAAAAGCTATTTGGTTTGTTTTACTTTTGAATAGGAATGATTAATTTCCTGCTGACCCTAGATATTAGAATTTTTGCTTCTGTTTTGTAGGGAATCTAACTTTGGACTTCTTTTCATGTGTTTTTTTAGATTTATAATAGTTAATAGTTAATATAAATATAAGGAAATAGAATAAAAAATAAAGGAGCTCTGGTGAGATACTGTACAAAGATGAACAGATAATTAAGCTTTTGAATAATTACCTTTTGAGTTCTAATATTTATTTTTTTTATTTTTTATTTTTTTTAAAGTTTTTATTTATTTAACACAGAGAGACAGCGAGAGAGGGAACACAAGCAGGGGGAGCGGGAGAGGGAGAAGCAGGCTCCTGGCCTAGCAGGGAGCCTGATGTGGGACCCGATCCCAGGACCTCGGAATCATGACCTGAGCCCTAGGCAGATGCTTAACGACTGAGCCACCCAGGCGTCCCTGTTCTAATTTTATTTTTGAAAATAGTTGATAAATTACATTTTTCGCTTTCATTTGGCTTAGGAAGAAAAAGAAATGATAAATTCTTGGGTGTAAATAAATAGGAGAGGTCAAACCTTCTGATTTATTAAAGCAGTAGTGCTGTTCCAAAATGCCAATTATGTAACTATCTCTAAAAATAATAATTGATGGGGCACCTGGGTGGCTCAGTCGTTAAGCGTCTGCCTTTGGCTCAAGTCATGATCCCAGGGTCCTGGGATTTCACCCCGCATTGGGCCCCCTGCTCAGCAGGGAGTCTGCTTCTCCCTCTGCCCCTCCCATGACTCATATTCTCTCTCTCTCTCTCCCTCTCTCTCTCTTTCTCCCTCTCTCTCAAATAAGTAAAATTTTTTTAAAAAATATTGATTTCCAGCACTAATTATTTTCTTCTCACCTCCTAAACTACTCAGATTTATTTAATCATTATTTAGTGTGATTGGGGGCACCCATTATGCGCTTAGCATTACGCAAATACTGAAGTAAATGTAAAACGGTATAATATATGGTCCCTGCCCTCGTGAAACTTGTATTCCAGCTGGGGAGACAAGGCATACATACTTTTTTAAAAGTTAAGTAACCCAGGGGCGCCTGGGTGGCTCAGTTGGTTAAGCGACTGCCTTCAGCTCAGGTCATGATCCTGGAGTCCCGGGATCGAGTCGGGCTCCCCCTGCTCGGCAGGGAGTCTGCTTCTCCCTCTGACCCTCCTCCCGCTCATGCTCTCTGTCTCTCATTCTCTCTGTCTCAAATAAATAAATAAAATCTTTAAAAAAAAAAAAAAAAAAGTTAAGTAACCCAAAGGTCCATCAGCTGTGGAAGGGATAAAAATGAATTGTCCATTTATCTAAATGAGTATAAACATCTTTTCTTTTTTTTTTTTTTTTAAGATTTTATTTATTTATTTGACAGAGATAGAGCGCACAAGCAGGGTGAGTGGCAGGCAGAGGCAGAGGGAGAAGCAGGCTCCCCGCAGAGCAGGGGGAGCCCGATGCGGGACTCGATCCCAGGACCCTGGGATCATGACCTGAGCCGAAGGCAGTCGCTTAACCAACTGAGCCACCCAGGCGCCCTATAAACATCTTTTCTATACAGAATGAAAATGAACATTGTTACAAAACATGTATGAGTCTCATGTAATATTCAGTAATGGAAGCCAGACACAAAAGACATACTGTATGATTCCATGTATATAAAATTCAGGAAAACTATAGTGTTTGGGGTTGCATATTTAGATGATTAAAATTATGAAGAAAAGCAAGAAAGGGATTACCATAGTTGTTAGCACAGTGGTTACTTTTTTGTAGGGGGGTGAGAGAGGAGGAAGGTATTAGTGATTAGAAAAGAACATGAGGGGGCTTTCTGGGTACTAACAGTTTTCTGTTTCTGTACTTGGGGAAAGTTTCATGTATATTCACTTAGAGATAAATCATTGAGCTTTTTTCATTTTTGTTTCATGCACTCTTCTGTGTGTGCATTATATTTCACAGTTCAAAAGATTTCTAAAGCGGTAAACAATAGTAAAAATCCAACGAGTTTTTCCATGTTAGAACAGTAAGAGCCAAGAGAGTTGGAAGGAAGAGAGAATATAACGGGTTGGAATAGTCTGGGGAAGAATAGAAGGCAGTAAAACAAGCTGGGCCTTTAAGAACAGGTAGGATTAATGTAAATGGAGTGAAGGAAACACATTCTGGATGAGGGAACCTGAAATTATCATGAGCTTGATGAGTTTGGGAGATAATTAAGTAACCACTGACTGAAGTAGGTGGTATTCTTGGAGAACAATGAGAGTCAAAATTGGCAAATTAGATTCAGACTAGAGTGTGGCAGATTTTGAGTGCCAGGCAGAGACTTTTAGACTCTTTCCTTTATTTATTTTTATTTTAATTTCAGTGTAGTTAACATACAGTATTATATTAGTTTCAGGTATACAATATAGTGATTGAACAATTCTACACATTACTCAGTGCTCATGACAATAAGTGTACTCTTAATTCTTTTGAACTATTTCACCCATCATCCCACCCACCTCCCCTCATAATGATCAATTTTTTCTCTATAGTTACAGATTCTTTCCTTTAAGTAGGGGGATCAGCCTAATGAAAACAGCAATGCCCATTTTATTTTTCTGTCCTAAAAAGGACTTAATGATATTTTTGCTCTATGTTCTATGTGAATATATGTTTTAATATATATATAATTTCTTGTTTTCACATGGTTTGAGGTTTGTGATGTGTCAAAAAAAATCCTAAGTGTTAAGCTTTGCATCCCAAAGTCCCAAAGTTAACTTTTACTGAAGATTTCCATAAGATTCTTTGTTTAGAACCCAATATTATAATTTTTAAAAGTATATTTCTTTTAAGAAACATGGGGTGCCTGGGTGGTGGGCTTAGTTGGTTAAGCATCTGCCTTCAGGTCATGATCCCAGGGTCCTGGGATGAAGCCTCATGTCAGGCTCTGCACTCAGCAGGAAGTCTGCTTGAGATTCTCTCCCTTTCCCTCTGCTTGTGCACATTCTCTCTAAAATAAATCTTTAAAAAAAAGTAGAAAATAATGTAAAGAAACTAATATTTCAAGAATTGTAGTCCTAGGGGCGCCTGGGTGGCTCAGTTGGTTAAGCAACTGCCTTCGGCTCAGGTCATGATCCCAGGGTCCTGGGATCGAGCCCCGCATCGGGCTCCTTGCTCGGCGGGAAGCCTGCTTCTCGTCCCACTCCCCCTGCTTGTGTTTCCTC